CATCCTTGTTTTGTTATCCTATTGCCCTGTTATCCTGCTGTCCTGTTATTCTACTGTCCTGTTATTCTACTGTCCTGCCATCCTACTGTTCTGCCATCCTACTATCCTCTCATCCTACTGTTCTGCCATCCTGTCCTGTTATCCTATTGTCTTGCTGTCTTACTTTTCTATCATCCTACTATTGTTATCCTACTCTCCTGTTATCCTACTGTGCCATCATGCTGTCCTGTTATGCTGTTGTCCTGCTTTCCTATCACTGTTCTTAAAAATGTGTACCACTGTTCTTGTATGTACCACTGTTCTTGTGTGTGTACCATTGTTCTTGTGTGTACCACTGTTCTTGTGTGTGTACCATTGTTCTTGTGTGTGTACCATTGTTCTTGTATGTACCACTGTTCTTGTGTATGTACCATTGTTCTTGTGTGTACCACTGTTCTTGTGTGTGTACCATTGTTCTTGTGTGTACCACTCTTCTTGTGTGTGTACCATTGTTCTTGTGTGTACCACTGTTCTTGTATGTGTACCATTGTTCTTGTGTGTACCACTGTTCTTGTATACCACTGTTCTTGTTTGTACCACTGTTCTTCTGTTTGTACCACTGTTCTTGTGTGTGTACCATTGTTCTTGTGTGTATCACTGCTTTTGTGTATACCACTGTTCTTGTGTGTGTACCATGGTTCTTGTGTGTACCACTGTTCTTGTGTGTGTACCACTGTTCTTGTGTACCACTGTTCTTGTGTGTACCACTGTTCTTCTGTTTGTACCACTGTTCTTGTGTGTGTACCATTGTTCTTGTGTGTACTACTGTTCTTGTGTGATATACCTTTGATATACTTTTGAAGAGTTTCGAGAGTTTCTCTACTCTCTGAGCCTGGCCATGGGCCAGGCTCGTCTTGTGGTTGCCTGGTCAATCAGGCTTTTGCTGTTGGAGGCCCGCTGCCCCACATATCCTTCACAGCCTGGTTGATCTGGCACCTGGTGAAGATACTTGTCCAGTTTCCTCTTGAAGGCTTCTACACTTGTTCCATCTGTGTTTCTAATATCTTCTGGTAAGATGTTGAATAGTCTGGGACCCCGGATGTTGATACAGTGTTCCCTTATTGTCCCCACCGCACCCCTGCTCCTCACTTGGTTTATTTTACACCTCATGCCATATCTCTCACTCCAGTGTGTTGTTATGGCAGTGTGCAGATTTGGGACCAGGCCCTCGAGTAATTTCCAGGTATATATTATCATGCATCTCTCTCTCTCTCTCCTCCGCTCCAATGAGTACATGTTCAAGACTTGAAGGCGTTCCCAGTAATTTAGGTGATTTACTGGCTCCAAGTGAGCCGTAAACGATCTCTGTATTTGTTCCAGCTCTGATATTTTTCCTGCTTTGAACGGGGTCGTCAGCAGTGAGCAATATTCAAAAGAGAGAGCACTAGTGATTTGAAGATTGTCATCATCGGCACTATTCCCCTTGTTTTGAAAGTTCTCAGTACCCACCCAGTCATCTTCCTAGCTGTCGTGATCTTTGTCTTGTTATGGTCTTTAAAAGAAAGGTCAGCTGACATAATTATTCCCAGGTCTTTTATGTGTTCCTTTCTTTCTATTTGGTGACCTTCTTGAGTTATTGTGTGTACCACTGTTCTTGTGTGTGTACCACTGTTGTTGTGCATGTACCACTGTTCTTGTGTGTGTGTACCACTGTTCTTGTGTGTGTGCCACTGTTCTTGTGTGTGTACCACTGTTTTTGTGTGTACCACTGATCTTGTGTATACCACTGTTCTTGTGTGTGTGTACCACTTTTTGTGTATACCACTGTTCTTGTGTGTGTGTACCACTTTTTGTGTATACCATTGTTCTTGTGTGTGTGTACCACTTTTTGTGTATACCACTGTTCTTGTGTGTGTGTACCACTTTTTGTGTATACCACTGTTCTTGTGTGTGTGTGTGTGTGTGTGTGTGTGTGTGTGTGTGTGTGTGTGTTTTGTGGTACCACTGTTCTTGTGTGTGCACCGCTGTTCTTGTATATGTATCACTATTCTTGTGTTTGTCCCATTGTTTTTAAGTGTGCACCATTGTTCAGGGGAGTGTGCACCCTGGTGTTGAAGGGAGTGCACACCTACCAGCTACATAGTAGTGCTGCTTGAGGACAAAATGCTGAATAGTTTTCTTCTTCTTTCTTTTCGTTTTTATTTCGCTCATAACGCGGGAATGCTTCGTCCGATCAGCTTCAAGTTTTCAATGCTGGTGTATGGTAACTAAGCCAAGGTTCTAGAAGCAATTGGCTTGTGCAGGTGTATTATGACCAGAACTGTAGGATCCATTCACTTCATCCTGGAATGGCTCAGATAACTTAGAAGACTGTCAGCGGCATTGCTTCAGACGCTCTAAGCAGGTACCTCCTAATTCACTGAATGGAGGGAGAAAGTCAGGTGTGTAGGTGCGTATGCCAGTTTTGATTCACAAAATCGTAATAAGACGACTGCAAACAAACCACAGTACGGATGAGATTAGAATCCATGGCAAGTGAGTCGTAAAACTCACTTGCCATGGGTTCTAACCCCACCCGTACCTTGGTTTAGGCCAATTTTGTATAAAAGAGTGGGATTATTTATTCCCATTTAATCAGGTTAAATATGTTAAGAACATAAAAAAGGAGGAACACTGCAGTAGGCCTGTTGACCCATACTAGGCAGGTCCTTCACAGTCTATCCCACTAATAGAATATTTGATAATTTTATTTACTCATGTGCAAGTCCCTTCAATTCCAACCCCTCTCACTCATGTATTTATCCAACCTAAATTTGAAACTACCCAAGGTCCTAGCTTCAGTAACCCTACTAGGCAGAGAGAGTGGCTGTGTAGTGTGCCATGTGCGACTGTGTGTGTGACACACACACACAGTCATTCACACTGTGGAGGTGTATAAATGAAAAACGGGAATTAATATAGGGGATGTAAAGAGCGTTTGATAAACATATTAGATTGGATAAACACATGTTTAAGTTTATCTCTTTAGTATAGCTTCGGTATTTAATAACTGATGCACTTTACAGCCAGGATAGTTCCAGTTACGTTGATTTTGTGAGCCAACCACGATACACTGACGTTTTTCAATGTCAATGACTCGAGGTACCAATTTTTTTTCTCCCACTTTGTAGTAGATTAAAAAACTTCATAGTGAGTAAACATAACCTAATAAAAGTTTACAAACTGTGTACATGTGTGTAGTGTATTCTTGTGTGTTTATTGTATACATTGTATGATACAAGGTGAGAATGTTTATTATTTACCTTGTATGATGCAAGGTGAGTTGTGTTTATTATTTACCTTGTATGATGCAAGGTGAGTTGTGTTTATTGTATACTTTGTATGATAAAGGTGAGGGAAATGTTATATTACTTGTGTGATAAGGTGAGTTTGTTTTTGTTTACTTTGTGTGATAAGGTGAGTGAGATTTTTATTACCTGTATTGTGGTGTACAAGAGAGTATGATGAGATTATTGCTTTCTTGTATGAATACACGGAAAGTGATTATAACCAGGCAAGGGTGTATTTTTTCATGTATAACAAGTTGAGATGCTTCTTTATGACCTGTATATCAGGATTGTGTTATTGGTTTACATTGCTAAGGAGTATGTTTTTTTACCAGTCGAAAGGGGAGTGTTTTAGTTACATTTGTAATATACGGACGATTACATTACGTTGGGTCATTAGTGCTGTGAATTTGTGTGATAGAGGGTGAGGAGATATTTACTGGGCCAGTGATATTTGTGGTGTCAGAGCAGGATATGATGAGATGGAATCTGCTTTCGGTACTTTGAAGTACACGAAAGGATTACAACCCCAACGGTCGTAATTCTTTCATGTAACAAGATTGGGCTGTCTTGTTATCGACCTGATAATCTAGATTGCTGTTACTTGCCGTTTACATTGCTAAGCCAGTCTCGCGTTTCCAGCTCGTAGGGAGTAGTTTTAGTGCACAGATTTGTAATAATACCGGACGATTAACATTACGTTCAGGGTCATAAAGTGCCTGTGCAATAGGATCAGTAGGGGGGGGGATGGGAAAGGGGAGGCATTTAAATCTGAGATAAGGAGGGGAAGGACAGCATCCGTTCCTCTGCTTGAGAGCCTTGCACTAGCATCACGGTACCATCCTACTCAAAACGGTTCTACTGGACGAGTTCTGTGCCCTGGACTACACAGCATTTTACCGTGGAAGCCTCTGATTTGAGTTCACTGACTATTAAAGTTCTGGATCTTGCTTTTAAGACAGTTGAAGAACCATCTCTCTAGTTTTCCAGTTACATTTTTCCAACGCACATTGTGTGCTCTTATAGCACGTGCCGTTACATGTGTGCTCTTATAACATGTGTGCCGTTACATGTGTGCTCTTATAACATATGTGCCATTACATGTGTGCTCTTATAACATGTGTGCCGTTACATATGTGCTCTTATAACATGTATGCCGTTACATGTGTTCTCTTACAACATGGTCGCACTTGTCGAAGGCCTTCAGTAAGTCAGACTATATTTCCAAGGTACTTGTCTTCCTATACCTCCGAAACACTACAGTAGTTTTCCTGTTTCAAACCCATGTTGACCTGGATTATCTTTAGGTTAGCGATTAAGTGGATGCGTACGTTGTTAGAGTTTTTAGGCTCGAGTGAATACTTGGGTTGTTTGGATGTTTAGACTAGTGTTAAAGTGTATGTTTAGGCTAGTGTTAAAGTGTATGTTTAGGCTAGTGTTAAAGTATATGTTTAGGCAGTGTTAAAGTGTATGTTTAGGCTAGTGTTAAAGTGTATGTTTAGGCTAGTGTTAAAGTGTATGTTTAGGCTAGTGTTAAAGTGTATGTTTAGGCTAGTGTTAAAGTGTATGTTTAGGCTAGTGTTAAAGTGTATGTTTAGGCTAGTGTTAAAGTGTATGTTTAGGCTAGTGTTAAATGGTTGTTGAGATTAGTGTCAGAGTGAACACTGACTTTGTTATGTCTTCTGTGTTACAGCCGGAAGCAACCCAAGACATTTGCGTTCGACCACTGCTTCGACTCTCTCTGTAGCGAGAGTCCCTCCTTCGCCACGCAGGAGACCGTCTTCACAGCTATGGGGCAGGACATCTTAAACAACGCCTTCGCAGGATACAACGCCTGTATCTTTGCCTACGGCCAGACCGGTAAGTCATTCGCAGGATTCAACGCCTGTATCTCTGCCGACTTTGTTTACGGTCAGTCTGGTAAATCTCATTCTGTACTTACAGGTAGACCAGAATGTACTATTTACCATGACTGATACTCGTGCAAATTTGAATGTTTCTAGGTTACTCTCAGCCACCTTGTTCTCAGACGTGTCTCGACCGTTTTATAATTTCCTTATACATGCATGTGGTTAAATACCCTGTTATAGGCTTATGTGACGTAACATTACCTAACTTATCTTAAAATCAAGAAAACATTAAGAAATTAGCGCTGGGATCCCTTGTAAAATTATTGACGTAGTTAAACAAGGCTAAGTTATTACATCGTAGGAGCAACACGCTGTTTACATCGTGATGTACTCTAACACTATCGCACTGCTCACATCATGATGTATTCTAACACTATCGCACTGCTTACATCGCACTGCTCACATCATGATGTACTCTAACACTACCGCACTGCTCACATCATGATGTACTCTAACACTACCGCACTGCTCACATCGTGATGTACTCTAACACTACCGCACTGCTCACATCATGATGTACTCTAACACTACCGCACTGCTTACATGGTGATGTACTCTAACACTATCGCACTGCTTACATCGTGATGTACTCTAACACTACCGCACTGCTCACATCATGATGTACTCTAACACTATCGCACTGCTTACATCGTGATGTACTCTAACACTACCGCACTGCTCACATCATGATGTACTCTAACACTATCGCACTGCTTACATCGTGATGTACTCTAACACTACCGCACTGCTCACATCATGATGTACTCTAACACTATCGCACTGCTTACATCGTGATGTACTCTAACACTATCGCACTGCTTACATCGTGATGTACTCTAACACTATCGCACTGCTTACATCGTGATGTACTCTAACACTACCGCACTGCTCACATCATGATGTACTCTAACACTATCGCACTGCTTACATCGTGATGTACTCTAACACTACCGCACTGCTTACATCGTGATGTACTCTGGCACTAACACACTGCTTACATGGTGATGTACTCTGGCACTAACACGCTGATTACATCATGATGTACTCTAGCACTACCGCGCTGCTTACATCGTGATGTACTCTAGCACTTTTGATGAATGGTTTTGAAAACCGACAAGTTGAAGAATTGAGACATGCAACATATGGGAATCTTTAGTGAAGAAATGTTTCGCCACACAGTGGCTTCATCAGTCTTATACAAAGCAGGAAGGTATAAGGAGAGGAGGAGTTTGAGGTAATCAGTCCCTCAGCCTGGAGTCGATGTGTTCAGTTCATTAATCTTGTAGAAAGTACAGCACAGGTATGTATGTATAATAAGAACATAAGAACATAAGAAAGAAGGAACACTGCAGCAGGCCTACTGGCCCATGCGAGGTAGGTCCAAGTCTCCTACCGGCTTAAGCCAATGCCCCAACCTAGTCAGGTCAGGTCACATTCACTTAAGGAAGGAACACGGCAACTAACCCAGCAGCACAAGCTAGTCAGGTCCAACTCACACCCACCCACACCCACTCATGTATTTATCTAACCTATTTTTAAAACTACACAACGTTTTAGCCTCTATAACTGTACTCGGGAGTTTGTTCCACTCATCCACAACTCTATTACCAAACCAGTGCTTTCCTATATCCTTCCTGAATCTGATTTTTTCCAACTTAAAACCATTGCTACGAGTCCTGTCTAGGCTAGATATTTTCAGCACGTTATTTACATCCCCTTTATTTATTCCTGTCTTCCATTTATACACCTCAATCATATCCCCCCTAATTCTACGCCTTTCTAGAGAGTACAGATTCAGGGTCTTCAGTCTACCCTTATAGGGAAAATTTCTGATATATGGGATCAACTTTGTCATCCACCTTTGTATGTTTTCCAGAGCATTTATATCCATTCTGTAATACGGTGACCAAAACTGTGCAGCATAATCTAAATGAGGCCTAACCAGGGATATATAGAGTTGAAGAACAACCTGAGGACTCCTATTATTTATTCTTCTTGATATGAAGCCAAGGATTCTGTTAGCTTTATTGCGAACACTTATGCACTGTTGTCTTGGTTTCAGATTACTGCTAACCAGAACTCCTAAATCTTTTTCGCAATCCGTAATATTAAGATCTACATTATTTAGTTTATATGTGGCATAGTTATTTTCCTGTCCAACATTTAGAACTTTGCATTTGTCTATGTTAAACTGCATCTGCCACTTCTCCGACCACTGCATCAGTCTATTCAAATCTTCCTGGAGTGCTCTAATGTCCTCGTCAGAATGAATTCGACGGCCATTTTGGTGTCATCGGCAAACTTGCTTATGTCGCTCTTTATGCCCTCATCTATGTCGTTCATGTAGATTGTGAACAGCAGGGGGCCCAACACTGACCCCTGTGGAACACCGCTCGTAACGCTTCCCCACTCTGATTCCTCCCCATTTATGCAAACTCTCTGCTGCGTATTTGTCAACCATGCCTCTATCCAGGAAAAAATTTCTCCTCCTATTCCACGTGCCTTAATTTTCCTCAATAGTCTCTGATGTGGGACCCTGTCAAAAGCCTTACTGAAGTCCATATACACAATATCATATTCATTAACATGATCTACCTCCTCAAATACCTTAGTGAAAAAAGTTAATAAATTCGTAAGGCAGGAACGCCCTTGTAAAACCATGCTGAGATTCGTTGATTAATTTGTGCTTTTCAAGGTGGCTACGAACTGCCTCGGTAATTATTGATTCCATAAATTTTCCCACTATGGAGGTCTATAGTTCGAAGCTGAGGACCTGTCACCTGCTTTGAAAATAGGTATCACATTTGCCATTTTCCACTTATCTGGCACCATGCCAGTTTATAGTGATATATTGCAAAGATTAGCCAGAGGTTTGCTAAGCTCCTCTTTACATTTCTTTAGAACCCTTGCATACAGTTCTTCAGGGTCTGGGGATTTGTTAGGTTTTAATTTATCAATTTGCCTAAGGACCATGTCACTTGTGATCCTAATCGTGCATAGTTTATTATCATCCTGTTCTGCATAATTTATTATTTCTGGAATATCGCTAGTATCTTCCTGTGTAAAAACTGAGAGGAAGCATGTGTTAAAAATTCTACACATTTCCTTATTACTGTCCGTGAGCTGACCCGAGTAACCTTTGAGTGGGCCTATCTTGTCCCTGATCTTACTTCTGTATACCTGAAATAATCCTTTTGGGTTAGTCTTTGATTCTCTTGCAACTTGAACCTCATAATCTCTTTTTGCTTTTCTTATTCCCTTTTTTTATTTCTCTTTAACTGAATATATTGATTTCTTAATTGCCCCTCTCCTCTTTTGATTTGCCTATATATGGCTTTCTTTTGACCAATAGATGTTTTAATCTATTGTTCATCCATTTAGGATCATTTTTGCTTGATCTAATTTCCCTATTTGGAACATAAGTTGTCTGAGCAGCTAGAACTATGCCCTGGAAAACGTCATATACGCAACCATCACCACCTACCTGACCCATAGTCAGGTCATTCCAGTTCAGCCCACCCAAGTAATTTTTCAGTCCTATGAAATCAGCCAAGCGGAAGTCAGGGACAGAGACTTGATTGCCATTATTAGGGGAATTCCATGATATATTAAAACTGAGTGATTTGTGATCACTTTCCCCAAGCTCATCATTAACCTCAAGATTATTAATTAGCGTTTCCCTGCTGGCAAGAACCAAGTCAAGCAGGTTGTTTCCTCTAGTTGGCTCTGTCACAAACTGTTTTAAAAAACAATCCTGAATCGTATCAAGAAAGTCACTTGACTCTAAATTTCCTGTCAAATTGCTCCAGTCAATCTGTCTATAGTCGAAATCTCCCATTATCACAACATTTTCGTATGTAGAGGCCTGACGAATTTCATCCCATAGAAGTTTACCGCACTCCCTATCAAGATTTGGGGCCCTGTAAATCACACCCAAAATTAGTTTTTCACGACCCTCGAGAAGCTGTAACCAGATTCAGTGGCTATCTGGTTACCTGGAGGTTATTCCGGGGATCAACACCCCCGCGGCCCGGTCCATGACCAGGCCTCCCGATGGATCAGGGCCTAATCAACTAGGCTGTTACTGCTGGCCGCATTTTTTTATATTTTGTCTAACACAACAATTTAAATTGTCTCTGACGTACATCGTTACTCCACCACCCTTCCTGTTGACCCTGTCAGTGTGGAATAATTTATAGCCTTGTATGTGACATTCAGAAGGCATCTCTCTATCTTTCAGATAGAGCCAGGTCTCTGTTATAGCAATGATATTTATGTTTCCTGCACTTGCAATTAATCTTAGCTCATCTATCTGATTTCTTACACTCCTGCTCTTAGTATAATAGACCTTAAGGGAGCTAGTTCCTTGCTGTCCTCTACTGTCTCCCTTTGTTTGCTGGCCTGATCTATTGTCTTTATTTATAACTTCATGATGAATGTCTTTTATACATTTACTGTTTTCAACCCTAGTGTTGCAACCTGTTCGCCAAGACCATAGTCCTGGCACGGGTCTCAATCTTGTGATGACCCGTCTCTGGCTCCCGAGGGAGAAAGATTTCTACAATGATGCGACATATGCTGCTCAAGCACTCTTCTGGTCAGTTCATCTGGTGCATCTCATAAGCGACAACACCGTATGTACTCCTAACTGTGGACACTAGCGAGGAGGAGGATATGTCGTTATCACGGGCAACAGCTTGTCTGGTTCGTTGACTCCATGATACACTAGTGTGGCCGCAGTCATCTCTGGGTCCTCTTCGGGAGAGGATATCAGTGCTAGTTGCCTGCGGTGTGTCTCAGTAAATTCGCACTCCAGAAGATAGTGTGTTAGGGGGCGCTGGACAACGTGCTGGCAATACTGGCACATCTCCTCAGCCTTGTCTGCCCATCATCTTGGCTGTGGGAAAGCCCAAACGAAGCCGATGGATGGCGGTACACTGTGCTCTGGAC